AACAATTCTGTCCTAATTTTACACTAAATGAACCTGCCAAATTCCAATAATGATGTCAACGTTCCGATTGTAGTAGCCCAGGACTACGAGTGAAGTAAACTAAGACTGGCTTTGAAAACTATCCCTAACAAGCGCAATGGTCGGTGTTGAGGGTGTCCTACATACTGAGGGTCTCAGATTGGAAGTAAATGGAGAAGCAGTGAGTTATGTCCTCTCAGCGATGACTAAATGTGTATCTTAATTAGTGCCTATTTATCTTTTTTAAATCATTTTCTTGATGCTGTTGGTATTTATACTGTAAAGGTTTATGTTTATTTGATTCTGCATATGTATTCATACTTGTATATATTATTTGATAAAAAGTTATTAGCAAGTTATTAGCTAGTAAATATTAAAATAGTGTTTCACTGTAAAATATGAACTTAAAAATAGGGATTGATGTAGTTTTACACGCTATCAGGTTTACAGGGGAATCACATGAATACGTGACAAACATGCTTTCTGCACAAAATCGTTGGTTAGTTTTTACATGTATGTTAAATTTATAATTATTATTTTTCTGCAACATTTCCAGCAACACTGTCCAATGACACCTAAGGTGAAAGTGCGGGACTTGTTTTAAATTATAAAGCCATTTGGTTGTGAATAGGACTGATTACAAATTGAATAGATGTAACGCGTGGGCAGTGTCCTAAACCCTCAGGACAAACTTTGTAACATGGCGCTTTAAGTTTTCATTTGTCGAGTTAACTAAAGACGATGTTCCCGGGTAAAATTACTTTACTGTCTATCAGAAAGTCACTCAACCGCTCCGGTAGCCTAGTGGTTAGAGCGTCCACTCAGTTGCGGGAGTTCGCGAGTTCGATCCCCGGCCGAGTCATACCAAAGACTTACAAAAATGGTACTAACAGCTGCCTCGCTTGGCGCTCAGCATTAAGAGGTTAGTGTTAGGACTGGGCACGATGCCCCAGTGCTGGACATGAATAGAACTGCCATACTGCAGACATCGTAGCGATCGATATAACTGGAAAATTGTTAAAGCTACGTTAAAAATCCAAATCACACAGAGATTGATTGATTTTCCCTTTATTCCTCCATTTTCTGAAAATTTAAGACAAGGTATAGAAATGCAATGTAATACATACAATTACAAAACTAGTGGATTCATTACTTATGACGTCTCCTGAATTACTTGTAATAGCAAACGTATACATAGATTAACATCATTACTAAATTAGATAGATTGTAATTTATTTATACTTTTAAAAGTATAACTACGTAGAAAATGTTTCAACATTTGAAAATAGAACTACACAAAAAAAAAATATTTAGTATTCCAATCGCTTTGTAATCCAGTACAAGTATTTCTTTCCTTATGTTCTGTGTAAATTTTCTATTGAATCGAATATATATCCTTTATCTTAATGAAATACTTGGAAAATAGCCTGATCACATTAATCCCTGTATCAAGTTCCAATCGTTCTGAGATTTTATTTAAACCACCAAGTATCAATCAGTATATCATCACCGATCTAATCACATAAATCACAGTAAATTACTGGAGGCATATACGAAAATAGACTGACCATCAAGTGGTTTCTGTCATCTAAGGTTAAGAGACAATTCATTGAAATGTGCTAGATACGGTCACGACTCATTTTGCAACATAGGGGACACAATCCAGGTCTTGCTTGCAATTCTCCAATACGAATTAATGCCCCATATTCCATTTTTCTGCTTTAGTCAGTGCAAGCGAATTTCCATAGATGGTGCACTTTCAGTCTTGGATTAATTTTTAAAAATCTACCGAATCCCTCTGATCAATTTGATATTCATTTCATGTTTTCTCTCCTCAGATACCTGTATTCTTGTCCCAATTAAGTTTTTTCTATGATATTTTGTCTGAAAATTTTCCAGCCAAAATGAAGTCTTTGAGATAATCTTCTAAATCATAATGTTTGAATGCAGTGTTTATATCATATATAAAAGAATTATAGCTATGTTGGGGGTCAAAAATCAAATTTCCAACAGTCCAGAGGAAAACCTTTTTAGCAATTAAGTTTGCAGATGTTCTACACATGCGACCAAGGAATATGAGTTTTTGTTTATCAATGCTAACTTCCACTGAAATCATCCCCAAGCATGATATCGTAGATTCAATAGGTGATCTATGAGGAAAACCTTGTACTCTCCGAGCAAAATATCGTTGTATCGCGAAGGTAGTGTGAGCAGATCACGTAACATTAAAAAAAATAGATGTCAGCATATATATGTTATGTATTTTGTGGTAGGTAGATCATTTTGGCTTCGTCATTTTTTAAAGATATCACATGCTGTATTTTATAGAGATTCCTTCCTTTTGTATAAGAATATTTTATAGAATTATCGCTACATATATTATATTGATGAAAACTTACTTGATATGTCCATTCTCTAAAACGTAAGTTGATTTACATCCTATCTTTCTCAGTGTCCTTTTTCTGAACAGCACATATAATACAAGTTAATGATAGAGAAAAGAAACTATTTAAAGCATGAATTTTGTTTCTGATTAGGTAAGGTTTAAATGTACTTCAATGATTAATCATCACTGTGGGCAAAACACACGGTCAGAATAAAATATTTACAAAATGTGCATAGTGACACAGACTGCCATTTTAACCAAAAACATCCCCAAAACCAGTAGAGACTTTATGGTGTGCTTTAAATAGTTTTGGGTACATGTCGGTTTGCTTGCATTGTAATTTGTATCAGAAGTGCACAGCTTTTATGGTGCTTGCTGCATTTGGTGCCTGAGGGTGGGAGGGACTGGGATTTTCCATTTAAATTACATATTTTTTCTTTTCTGAATCATTGGTCAACTGACAATATGGATATATGATTTTATTTATACAAACTCATTTTTTGTTTCAATAACAGACTGGCAGTTATATATCTACCCACAAAACAGGAGGATTATTTGTTCAAAGCTGCTTGAAAGCCGTGCATATATATATATATATATATATATATATATATATATATATATATATATATATATATATATATATATATATATATATATATATATATATATATATATATATATATATATGCACCCTGCCCCCAAACACACAAATTGGTCCCATATTTATCTGAACTTTTTCACTGATTATTTTTATGGAGTAAGTAGATGGATGAATTTTAACACCCAATATATACATTCAGATATTAGATAAAGTAAAAAAAAATAGGTAAGAATCATGTCTAAACAGTTTTAAAAAATGTAATTTTATAAATGGGTTATTCTGTTTATTTGTTTATTAAAACCTTTATCTGCCATAATTTGGTCCCCTGGCTCTAACAAATCTATAAGCTGGTTCCTAGCTTAGCCTCGTTTTGGATTTGACCCAGGGTCACATGAATACATTCTAAGAATGGTCTATGACATATTAAACCATAGTTTTGATCCATACAAAACAGACGGTAATATAACTCTTTCCCAGACTTTGATATGACATATTAAACCATAGTTTTAATCCATACAAAACAGACGGTAATATAACTCTTTCCCAGACTTTCACAGAAACTACAGAATTAATTCCATTTGTGTTTAGACCAACTCAGTAAGTTGGTTACATGTTTAGTTTTATTGTACGAATAGTCTATACGATCATTAATTTTCATTGATTGTGAAAAAAGTAACTCCGGCATATTTCTTTTTTTTTTTTGCTCTAGGATTATCCGGTAACACCAATGTAATTCTATTGGATAAGCACACTTCATTTTTTCTGCTGAATATCACCCAGTTACTCTTGTGAGGGTTATGATTCAATTTCCACTTCTGTGCATACAGATAAGCTGTATTCACAAGTATCTGTAATCTATTCAGCGTACAGCTTAGTAAGAGTCATGTCTTCTGCCGAAAGCATGCCACGTATGTTCATTTCATTCATTGTTATCCCGCAATTAGTCATTCAAGAGATCATTTATGTTGAAGAGAAAAAGAAAAGCGGACATTACACGCCCTTAACCAACACCTCTCCTTAACGGATGTGTAAGATATACATTCTCAACACGCTACACAGGCAAATGACTGTGTGTAGGAATGAATGATTATCCTCCATATTTTTGCGTCTAGTAGACCACAATGACACAGATATTTGAATGCCTTTTCATTATTCAGAAAAGCAGCATATACATTGGAGTTATGATTAAGATAGTATATCAAACATTCTTGAAGAGTAAATGCAGCAGATATAGCTCCATCCTCTTTACAAAATCCAAACTGATTAGGATGAGAAAGTTTATTTTGTCTAAATACGTTTGAATTCTGGTCATCAATATTTTTTCATACAATTTTCCCAGACAAGATGTAAATGTTATACCACGATAATTTTCCAGATAATTTATATCTTTACCATTTTGTTTGTTTTTCTGTATAATTATCCCACATCTTTATACGTTTGGCAAATACTCAAACTGGATTATGTAATTAAATAGGGCAGTTAAATGTCCGATTAAATATTTTCCACCATACTTTAAATACTCATTCGATACGCAATCAATGCCTGGTGATTTTTATTTTTTATTTTTAGAGATTTGATATGCTGCAACACCTCCTCCTCTGTAATAGGATTACACTTTGTTATCAGTCTCTAGTTTGATTTCTTCGTACATATTCTTCATCTTGACACAATCATTATGTTCCTCATCTGTTGCACAGCTTAATTCAGAAAATATGTTTTCCATAGGTTGACACATTCATCCAAATTATTTGATTCCTCGAAATATAATATTACCATAATTTGATTTTTCTTTCCTACTTCCCAGTAAGACTGCGTAAAATTAGTCTATTCCAATTTCTGCACTCTTTCCTATCTCTTCAAATATGCGCTCTTTATATTCCCTTATCTCTAACCTATGTTTCTTTCTGAACTCTTTTTGCGTCTTTGTGTTTTCTTTTGAAGTTACAGTCTGTGCTTCTAGGTTTTCTGCTTTGATCCATTTTCAGCGCGCTTTTCTCATATCCTAGTGGTTAGAGCGTCGGCCTCTGATACCGGAGGTCGTGGGTTCGATCCCCGACCGAGTCATACCTAAGACTTACAAAAATTTTACTAACAGCTGCCTCACTTGGCACTCAACATTAAGAGGTTAGTGTTAGGACTGGTCGGCCTGGTGTCAATATAAAGTGATTGAGTGTGACATCAAGCTACATATCTGCGGCATGATGCCTCAGTACTGGGCATCACTAGAAACTGCCACACTGTAGACATCGTAGCGATATAACTGAAAAATTTGTAAAGCTACGTTAAAAATCCAAATCTCAGAGAGAGAGAGAGAGAGAGAGAGAGAGAGAGAGAGAGAGAGAGAGAGAGAGAGAGAGAGAGAGAGAGAGAGAGAGAGAGAGAGAGAGAGAGAGAGAGAGAGAGAGAGAGAGAGAGAGAGAGAGAGAGAGAGAGAGAGTCGCTTAGTTACAAATATCATCTACCTACAAGTGGAAATTTTCTTTTTACAGCACTGATATAAAAAATTAATGGTTGGGAAGTCAATAGGTTATTAAAACACATCTGTGAATGTGCAAAGTTTGTTTTGTCAACATAGTTGATATCAACAAAAGCCAATGGTTGTATTCAACACATTTGCCAAGGGTTACAACACTTACACTGATAAAATAGGTCAAAAGAGCATTTCAAGAGCAATTAACTACTCTCACTCAGTCAAGACAGCATTTCAAAAGCAATTAACAACAGTCACTCCGTCACCACAGCATATGCTCATTGTTTTTCTGAGGTTAGTACATTATGTAACAACCTCATCCAAAGTCAATAATTGTACAAGATGATGGCAGATCTGTATCTAGGCTATTTACAACTGTGTGTTAAATACAATATCACATATCTATGATGATATGCTGAAATGATTCAATCCAGATCTTATCAATTTATCTCACAATTGGGTTGATTTGGTGATCTTAAATAACTTTTTGTAAAGGATAAAGAAAACTATTTTTCACTTTATCTGACAAAACAATGGTATATATCAGCCACAAAATATATGAGTGATATGAAGTAAATACTCTTGGCACACTGTTTCAGACCTTCAAAGACTTGGAATTTAGAAGCTGTATGCTAATAAGTCCAAGGCATGAAAAATTTTCACCTTATAGTCATCCATGATAAAAAAAACATTGGCAAAGCCTGAAGTAGCATGACAAATATAAATAATTTTTCAACTGCAAAACTTATCAGTTGAGAATCATTTCAAACTCATTTGGCATTCCACAATCTGTTACAGCCATGAGGTCCAGCCTGATGCTCTGAAAATGAAAAGTATTACAAATGCTTTCTGAGACCGTTAGATAATTGAATTCTCAAGGAAATGAAGAAAATTCCACATACTTTTTAGCATATATGTTCCTTAAAATTGCCTTTTTTAAAAACATTTAGTATTTGACAAGTTGCATAATGTTCACAAAAAATACATTGAATATTTTGAAGTTTCAAAGATTTGAAAATGTATTTTTTGTAGTCAATTCTACCTAGATGACCTACTAGGTTGGGCACACTACTGTCTGGTCACTAAAATACTATCAGCCCAAAATCACCAAACACAGGAATGAATTGTAACTTGTGGAATGTGATGGATCAACAGATGCTGCCACAGGAGAAAATCTTCATATGAAATGCTGTGAATTTCATAAATGTTACATAAATTCAATTTAAATAAATCTGTATGGTAATTACAGATGATACAATGTGAAAATAGTCTATATCAAATACTTAGTGTCACCAATTCACGCTCTTTTTGGATGCAAATGTAGCTCATCCAAACTTATAAGAGTTTTGTAGAATTAATTGCCTAAGACTCATAATGATGTATCCATAGTAGGAACAAAATCCATAAAAAGATTAGGAAACATACACAAATGAAATTGTTTAAAACTAAAACCTTAAAGCAAACTTTAAGAATTACTTTGATCTTGAGGTTAAATGGGTGAACATGTGTGTTACAGAAAGGGTTAAGCATTTATGTTGCAGAAAGGTTGCACAAGTATGATGCAGAACAGGGTGACCAAGAAAGTTGCAGAAAGGGGTGAGCAGTGTATTGCAGAAAGAATTGTCAAATCCAGAGAAAATAAAGAAATCTTCATATTCATTCATCCAGAGTATAAAGAAAATAAGAAAATCCATCAAGGGTTTAGAAAATATAAGCAATGGAAAAACTATAAATTTTCTATGTAATTCAAACATATTGACAAAAGGGCAAGTAAGTATGTTGTTGAATGAATTGTCCAAGGTTGGTTGGTTGGTTGAATTTTTACGGCGCACCAGCACAATGAGGCTATTTAGCGCCATAAAAAAGGTAAAATCCTTCATTATTTACAAGTGGTAAAAAGATTTTTATTGACCAGCGATACAAAACCAAATAGTTAAAGGTAAAACGATACAAATGGTAACGGTGATAATTAAATAAAGTTTCCCAATCAACAGGGTGTGCAAATAATGTATGACAATGTAGACAGATGAATGGTAATTAAAATCTAGTGAACGTACATATATAGCACATAAAAATGTTCAAGGTGTTAACATAAAAGCTACAACTTATGATAAATGTTTACTTCCTTAAGGAAGTCTATAATATAAGAAATGCTAACTGTATCAAAAGAGATCCCTCATGTCTTGAACATTGTAATATTGATTATGCGTAGGTTGGAGGTCAAAACACTCCAGCATAAAGTGCTTAACAGTGAACGGCTTATTGAAAGATATGCACTCTGGTGGGTCATCTACTTTTAGTATGTAGGAGTGGGTTAAATAAGTATGACTGATTCGAATTCTTGCAATGGCTACCTCCTACCTACAAATGGCTCCGTAGGAAGGAGTCCATTCTCCTATGGTTGGCTCGATGGCTTGAAGTTTGCTATTCACGGCAGCATTTCATGATGCCTGTCATTTCTGACGTAAACATTCTTTGATACAATGTTTAAAATCAGTATATGGTGTTTTAAATCAGATGGTTCTAATGATAGAGCCATTTTAGCAGCACAGTCTGCTTTATCATTACCTTTAATTCCAATATGGCTGGGTAACTAACAGTATACTATATTGTGCGAGGTACTCAGCTCAGTATGTTTAAGGAGAATATTAGCTAACAATGGATTCTCCAGTTATATAGTGACTGAAGTACTGATAGTGAATTGGAGAAGATGATGCTGTTTAAAATACGCTTGCTTGCAATGTATTGCAAAGCAAGGTCTACTGCTCTGATTTCGGTTGAAAAAATTGATGTACCATTTGGTAAGCGAACTTTTTGTTGTGTTTTCCACTAACAATTCAGGGACTTAACATTGTTTTAAAAATACATCAAAATTGGCCTTTGTGAACACCAAAAGGTCTGTATCAAGGATATCTGTCAATAATGGATAAAAAATGTATTCCCTTTAATGTTCTTTATGGACTAGCTTCAAGAAATTATCAATACAAGTACTGTAAAGTATCCCACAAGCTTGAGTACTAGACAAATCTAGTATCCAGCAGCAAAAACAAGTTCAAATAACTTCTGTGTCACAAATGTATGTTATTGTGCCATTTCCTAACAATAGCCATTCCAGTCATGCAGAAAGATTTGCATTTTCACTGCCTTGCTTATCCGTAAATCAGATGGCTGCACTGTATTTCACTTTCTGTAAACTTTTGATACTGTATAAACACACTTCTAAATTAGATTCAAGTGCAAACTGCATAGACCCAGGTCAGCCATTGCATACTGAGCCAGCAGATGTGTGTCTATATAGCTTTTTAAGAGTAAATAGTAGAACAAACAAATGGTCAATTAGGGTCAATGTTGCTTGCAATTGGACTTGACTTGTACTGAAACATCGCTGGTACTTATTTGGGAAGTGATTAACAACCACAGGCAAGAAATATAAATTATAATTCCATAATGATTCTCAGGTACAGCTTTAAAAAAGGAGAGAATCAGATTACAAAGTCAATGTATAATAAAATCAGAAGAAAAATTTAGATATGATTTTTATGGATTCATGGTGTCCAGACGATATAGCAATGAACTGTGTGCAGTAGATCAAAAATGGCCTTTGATAAAGGTAGCTTCTTAATACAGATGAATTTATTCTAAAATTTCATTTTTTGAAACCTAGAAAATGCAATTGTTTAACAGATGTGACTTCTCAGGCATGTTCAACTTTATATAAAAGCTATACCTGTTTCTTTTCCAATCTGGACAGAGTAGGCTTGATCATTTTGATTATCTCCATGTACTCACTGTGATGTCTCTTCATTTTGATAAGGAATGCCTTCAGGCACAACCTGCCAATAACAAAGTTAGGCTTTTTGTTATTCAACTCTTAATGGTTTGTAAAAGTTTATTTCTTCAATTTTATATTAATATTTGGTAAAAAGTATTAAACACTGTGTAGATTATAATCAAAAGATAAATATAGTAAAATCTGCTTACAGTGAAATGAAATTTAATGAAATATCAGATATTACATAAAATATCACATTTTCCCTTCCAGATAAAGAAATGTCTGAATATAACACTGTAATATTTTGGAACCCTGCAGCTTTTGTTACATAAGTATAACCTGTTAGTAATGATGTACTCTATGAATTCTTTCCCATTATCGTGAACATTTTATGGCTACTTTACTTTTCCAATTACATGAGCCAGAAAAAAATAAAAGTACCCAGTTTTTTTTTATCTTGACAAATATGTTCTGTAACTGACAAAAATATTAGTACATTCACCAATTTTGTTTACATCAAGTTACTATCATAAGAATCATAATCATTCATTTCACATTTTTCTTTCCTACCCCCCTTCCAAAATGTACTGCACTTATTGATTTTATTTTGTTTCCTGGGCAAATTGTAAAACTCGCCTGATCCTTGTCCCAAATGATGAACTAATACATAATATAATGCAACAAGTGCTGCAATGAAGTTGCCATGCCTACAGACTAGGAATGCTGATTAACAAGGGTATAGTACTCCCTCATTATAATGATACCCATGAGACCTAGAGAGTCTACACCCTTATAATAAGATGCATATTAATAAAGATTATGA